GTTTTATTTATAAAAAAGATGAGAAATTTTTATTACATTGTTAATGCAAAACGGACAAATGGCACCGCTACCGATCAAAGACAACGGTCAGTGGCAAGATGTCATGTCCGAATTGTTTTCACAACTTATGTTAAATCTTATTACTCAAGTTTCAAAATCCGAAAAATCAAAAATGTATAGTGTGTGGTTAAAAAGGAAAATCCTATAAAAAATATAAATAAATGAAATTTGAGTTTATAAAAAGCCAATTTAAAAGAAAAAGATTTTATTATAAAAAAAAAGAGAAATTCGAGTGTTAAATTTACATAATATTGTTAATGCAAAACGATCAATGGCACCGCTAACGGCCAAAGACAATAGTCAATAGAAGGATGTCATGTCCAAATTGTTTTCACAACTTATGTAAATCTTATCACTCAAGTTTCAAAATTCAAAAAATCAAAAATGTATAGTGTGTGGTTAAAAAGAAAAATCCTATAAAAATATAAATATATGAAATTTGAGTTTATAAAAAAACCAATTGAAAAAAGAAAATGTTTTATTATAAAAAAAATTAAAAATTCAAGTGTTAAAATTTACATGACATTGTTAATGCAAAACGGTCAGTGACACCGCTAACGGTCAAAGACAACGGTCAATGGCAGGATGTCATGGCCGAATTGCTTTCACAACTTATGTTAAATCTTATCACTCAAGTTTTAAAATCCGAAAAATCAAAAATATATGTCGAATTTAAAAAAAAAAAGTTAAACCAATATTTATGTAATAGATTTAGAAAAATGAAAAAGAGAAAATAATTGTCACCATGGCCTCTAGATAAGTTCCAAATTTATCAGATTCGTCCTTACACTTCCTTCTTGCATCTTTCGGATTTGCCTTACGCTTAAGCTGTAGATAAAAGCGAATAATTAAAATAACTCCTAATTGTTTCTTTTTAACCTAATTAACCTAATTCCCAATCACGAATACAAACATCACCGGAAAAAGATAAAAAAATTTAATGTCGGCGAGGTTAAATTTGAAGACGTTAGACACTTACATAAAGATCCAGCGCCGCCGCCGTTATCACCGCGAGTCTCCGACGGAGGAAAGAGATCGCCCGATCAAAAAACTCCTTTTGCTTTCCTTTGCGTCAATTATGATGGATGAAGAAACAGAGAAAACAGAACAACGTAATCAAAAACAGAATCTTAAGGATCAAAGCAGTATATATATATATAAGATTCATGAAAAAAAATTCACCTCTGCTTTTTTTTTCCTTTTAAATTCACCTCTGCTTGATAATAATTTTAGAGAGAAAGTGAATTTTTTCTTAGGTTATGAGGAGAGAAAGTGATTTTTGGAGAGAGCTTTGAGGTATTTAAAAGAGAAAGGAAATTTTATGTAATTGTCGTTGTGATTAAACTATTGATTTCACAACGGTAATAAAGATGGAGAAAAGTTACCGTTGATTAATAACGTTCATATTTTTCTTAATCTTTGAATTTTGATTGTGAATTTGGTCATATAACTGAACCGGATGAAACCGGGGGAAATTTAAACCGGTTCGTTTTCGTATTAAATCACAAAACCTAAAACACTCGCGAGTTTGGGTTTGATGTTAAAAGCATGCGTGTGTATAGTTTATAGTATCTTGATCAATGGTATTGCGAAAAGTGGAAATTTTGAGTATTGCCTTGGAAGTGTTCGACGAATTGTCTGAGAGAGAAATTGCACTTGAGAAGGCAATGTAATCTATGACCAGCTAATCTTTAAGGTATAGTGTATCATCTTCTTTTAATTTCAGCAACTAAGCTAGTCTGAGTTTTGAGGCTTTTCTCTGTGTCTGTACTCTGTAGTATTATCAAAGACTGTTGCACAAAAAGGTGGAATCTTTATTCTTTACTTGAGAGAAGACAAGTTATATGTTTAAGCTGCAGCTGAAAGAAACCACTGTGAAAATGGTTGTTGAGTGAGCTGTGTTAGCATCTGGGTGACACATTGGTCTTGGTGATTTGATTAAACATCACTGAGATCTGTTACTTTAATTACGATGCAAAAGCAAATGTAGAACTAGCTTGACGTATCAAGCCTAAGTTATGAGTCTCAAAAGTGATTGATTTCACTTGATCACGGACTCATCACTAGGAAGTAAAGCAAAAAGAAAGTGGTACTGTTCAAATTGCTATCAGAGAAAACAATTCTATATGCATCAACACACAAATCTCAAAATTGCATCTTTGTTAAATGGTCTCCTTGAGTAATCATTCAGTAAGCATTATGTATAATAAACTATTATTTTGTCAAAACTTATGAATTGTTACATATCATTCAAGAAGAGACCTCATTTACTTCTTATAAAGGGGATAATAAACACACTCAAATGCACGTAGGATGTAGTATTCGTTATTTAAGAGACTTAATCAACTTGCCTCTGTTCATGTTCTTGAGTTCTTTACACGCATAAAATCCATGATCTGCCTTCCTCCTATAGGCGTGTCCCATGCCAATCTTCAAGCTTAGATATGCTGGTCTCTCTGGACTGCAAGAAACCAAATCCATATTCGAAAATAGAGTATTCTCTCCCATCGAGGTCATTACGAATTCTAAGGAATGGAAATATGTCTCATCTCTTCGTTGTATGCACGATCTCTTCGCTGTAAGACTCAGGCTTATGATGATCTCCAACAACCAGCTCAAGCGCCTCCTTCAAATGTGATCTACTACGTCGACGCTGCTTGGCAAGTGAATTCCCAATGTTGTGGTTTGGGTTGGCTGTTTCATCGTACCTATGATGGAAGTGAAAAAGAGTACTCTGGCTCTTGGAGGTGAAGCCTGGGCAATCCGTGAAGCACTTCAGCAAGCAATCAACCTTGGATATGGTGAGCTACAGGTGTTATCGGATTCGTTCTCGCTGGTAAACGTCCCCAATTCACTCGAACTCACACGGAGATCAATGCCATTATTAATGATATATGCTTTTTGGTGTTATTTTCTTCGATTTCTTTTCGATTTATTCCTCGTTCTGCTAATGTTCTAGCAGATGCGATTGCTAAACAAGCTCTTCATGCTTTTGTTAAATTCTATGCATTAAGTTGTAATAAAAAAAAGTTTCGACCAAAAGAAAAATAATTGTAATAAAAACAGTCGATCCGTTTTTTTTTTGGGCGACCAACAGTTTTATTA